AGCTTTCGTCGAACACTACACAGAGCTTCTCAGTCGTCAAGCCTCACAAAAAGCGGTGTTTGAAAGCGAGTTCTTGATTTTACTGATGATAATAAAATGTTATTTAAAAGGCTTTCCAGAACAGGCCGATAAGCCTGTCGGAGATAACAATTGCGATAGAAGATTTGAAACCTGGGAAATTGCCAGGCCCAGATGGGTTGACCGCACTTTTCTCTAAGACGTTTAAGCATGAGGTTTCAGTTATTTTGTTAGACGTTTTTACTGAAGCGTATGACAAAAAAATTCTTACCGCCATCGTTTCTGCGTACGCATACTGTATTGATTCTTAAGTGTGATGATCCCGTTAAACTTCGTAGTGTAAAATCTTATCGTCCTATAACGCTTAGTAACATAGACTACAAAATACTAATGAAAGTCCTCGTTAGACGATTGCAATTCGTCATCACGAATGTTGTGGGGCCGCAGCAGATGTGCGGCATACAGAATCGAAGTATCTTAACTAACATTCATGTCGCTCGCAGTATTTTGGAGTGCTGCGACTCAAAGATAAAGAAGGTTGCGATGTTACACTTAGACTTAGAAAAAGCCTTCGGCCGCGTGTCTTATGATATCCTCTTCAGTGTTTTGGAACATATACACCAACTCATGTTTACAAACAAACCGGAGCGCCCCTAGCAGAAGCCACCGGCGCCGCGCATGCGCGGTGGATGGTGGGCAAGAAACCCGCCGTCGCCCATAAACAAACCATTGAATTGCGTTGTTGTCGGCGTCGGTGGGAGTCCAAGTGTTCTTTTTCGCGTTGGAATTGTTGATTCGACGTCCTCCTAACAATGTCTGACTACTTCAGCGGCTTCAGCAAAACTATCGAGGATAAACTTTGCGTGAATAATGTGACGTGCGGCGATTCATTTCACGTGGACGCCGCAGAATGGGCGCTAAAGCCTGACTCCCACGATGAGATTCTGCTCGCTATTTTCAGTCGCGACGTCGCTCGGACTGCAAAAGCGTGGACCGTAGCCGAGATGGTGGACATCGATACTGAAAACCGCAAGTAGAATCGGGCATTACAAGTCGGTGATGGCCACTGGTAACAATGATCAACAACTTCTTGTATCTGTTTACACCTTAGCCGACTGACCCCAACCAACCTTCAAAAGTGTTTTGAGGCCTGCACTTAGTTCTTATCGCAATTACCGGGTCAACGTTTGGTTTACGGGCCGCTGTCGTTTGAACGAGCTGACGACAAAAAGCAGCCAAGTTTGAAAGAGCAGATGACAGTTCGAACCCACGCGCAATGGAGTACGGGCAAGAAGCACTGCGTCCCGCGTCAACAAACCATTCGAATGTCACGTTGTCGGCGTCCTGTCTGAGTCTGCATACTCTTTTCGCGTTGGAGTTGTCGATTCTACGTCCTCATCGCAGTGTCTTACCACTTTAATCGCCTGAGCGAAATTATCAAGGTTCGTTACGCCGCTAAACTTTCCATAAATAATTTGGCGTGCGGCGATTCATTCGCATGAACGCCGCAGAATGGACGCCAAAACCATGATGAGATTCTTGTAGCTATTTTCGGTCGCGACGTCGCTCGTGCTGCAAAAGTGTACAAGGTAGCGGCGATGATCGACGTCGATACTGAAACTCGAAAGCGGGAACAGACCAAGCGTAACAAGTAGGTGCACGATGGCCACCGGTACCATTAATTAACATCTTGTATCTACTATTTACACCGAGCCTACTTAAGCCTTTTGAGGCCTGCAGTTACTTCTTATTGCAATCACCGGGTCAAAGTTTGGTCTACGGGCCGCTTTTCTTTGAACGAGCAGACGACAAAAAGCAGACAACTTAGAAAGAGCAGACGAAAGTTCGAACGATCAGGCGGCCCTGTGAATTTGAAGACGCACTGAGCCCGTGGGTGGTCCGCACAACTCGGGGGTTTTCTCTGGTTCATGTTGGAACAAAGCAAATACATCTGGCGACCACAAATTGTGGCCCGCACACGCAATCGTAGTTCGACAGCGTCTGGTTTGCCCTTTTCACGGCTACTATCCACGTTCTCGGACGAACGGAGGGTGCAAAAACACATGAAAACTGATCTTCAAACCTTTACGGACTCTATTGGTGAAGCCCCCATCGCAGCATTTTGACGAGAAGGCAGGTTTTTTGTCTCGTTTCTTCCAAAGGAACACGGGAATGCATGTCTGGCACGGCGACTTCTGCCCACCGCCCCAGACCGGAAGTGCGTCCGGCGCGCCACCACCGCGGCGTGACGTAGGAGAGTTGAGTTGGTGTATAGGGGTAGGGTCTGTAATTTTAGGAGGAGTGCGGATGGCGTACCGAAACTGTACAACGATCTTGATTGTCAAGAGTGTAAGTGAACGCATCCCTGTCAAATCTTCGGTAAGACAGGGATGCCCGCTATAACCACTATTGTTTGCTTTGCGTATAAAACCCTTCTGTTTGCGCATTATTCATGAACAAACGCTCGCGGTTTTACTCTGAACACGTGTGAAGTGCAAATACTGGCTTACGCGGATGATATTGCGATATTCTGCGCTGATACAGAGAGCCTTAAAAAGTAATAGAAATCACACATTCACTGAACAGCATGCTAACTGGCTGTTCAGTAAATTGGTGAAAGTGTCTGGGTTTCTGGCATGGCGAGTGGCCATACAAGCCGAGAGTAAACGAAAATATCGAATGGGAAACCGTACCGACCCGTTATCTAGGCGTCCCACTAGAGTGTTACCGTGATAATGCCCATTTGTGACGAGAAGAAATTGATGAGTTACATGATAAAGCAACGCAGAGCGGTTGCCGTCATATGTCAATGTTCGCACGCGCCACGGTGTGTAACCTATTTTTTGTTGCAAAGGTATGGTACCTACGTCAAGTATTGCACTGTTCTCGTGTTTCCATTCAAAGGTTGCATCGTGTTTTTGCGGTTTTCTTTTGGGCCTCCTCTTTGGAACGTCCCAGCCGTGCGAACCTATTTCGACGTGTCCGATCTGGTGGCCTCTAATTGGCCCACCTTTTTATTCGACAAGTTGTTAACCGTTTTATCTTCCTGCGTGATCAAACCAGTCCCTTTTTGCGTACAATTTTTCAGGTTCACTCGTGTAACGCTTTACCTGATTTTATCGTTTCGTCCTGTGACGGAGGGTCTGGGCCATTAAGTGCCAATTTAAGAGAAGTAGTTGGTACTTACAGATTTTTTGTTGCTCGCTTTTTTTTAGAATATTTATGCAATGTGTCACAAAAACGTCTAACGAAGGATTTAATAGAAACGCCTTTTCCCCTCCCATTTATCAAATGCTGTACAGTACTCTCCCTGGGTAGGATGTACTCTGTCGGGTTAAACAAATGCTGGTATCCGCTAATATGAAAACGTTTTTCTTTGAATTACATGCTGGTACTCTGTCGGTTAAAACATGGTTACATGGGAAAGGTGTGCACGTCCCGTGGTTTGTGAATTGTTTTTGTGTAAGGAACCCGAAACTATCTAGCATGTGTTCTTAAACTGCTGGGATGCAGTGTTTTACTTGGACATTCCTCAGCGAACGTTGAAAAAAGATCTTCCTTGGAATGGGCATGAGATACAGTTTCTGCCAGTTGATATCACAGTCTCTGTGCCATATGGTTATATTATGGTCGCAGGACTCCACAGCATCTGGAGGAGCCGCATGGCAGTCCGGCATGCAGATGTTGGCGCGCGACCTGTGTGCCTGTATTTTACTGACAACGTCCTGAAAATTAGGGAAGTGTACAGCTTTTCAGGAGATGGCCCAGATTGGTTGCCAGTCGTAGACAACCTGCCTACGATAAGATGTCTATAAGCACTCCACGCTCACCGAATTTTCACTGACGTGTTTGTGAACAGCGTATCTGTATATTAATCCCATGTATACCTGCCAATAAATAAATAAAAAAACAACCTAAAAGTAGCTCAGTGGAAAGATGTCCGCTTCACATGCAGTGGAACAGGGTTCGATTCCCAGTGTGTACTTTTTTTTTTTCCAAGCATTTTCCGATATTTACATTTCTTTTTCTACAATTATCACTGAAAAAAAAAAATGTTGTGAACGAAACCTCGGTGAACTAAATGGTATGGGATTTCCTTTTCGGCACCTGCGAACTCAATGTAATCACCTTCCAGAAAATGCAAGGAGTATATAATTCGAGTAGCGTCCGCTTTTCGAGGTGCCCGCAAATTTTCTACAGGAATTGCAGCCAGCCATTGATCCCTGCCCGTTGATCTTTCGGAAACTTGTGCAGACTTCTCCCGCACAATGGCAGTTCTTTAGGACGCAGGAGATCTGAAGGAGTTCTTCGCGCAACATCTTGGGGGTATTATTTTCGGAGCCGATAACGAAAATTGACCGCGGGCACTGTCTACTCATCTCCAACTTCTCAATGTACAAAGGAACTCATCTTGAAGTACAGAACAGCCAGCGAAACAAACATATCTGCAAAGGAATCGCACGGCAAGCAGTTCTCGCCTTGCAAATCGCCTGCTGCGCTCAAACACTGGAGGGGAAAGAAAAAAAGCGCGCGGTCGGGTGTAGCCACGTGACTTCCGCCCCTCACTCTCTCCTCTCCACTTTTCCGACCTCCGTGTGCGGGTTTCAGTCTCGACTTCGAGCATTTGCGTTTCTTTGGCTTTAATAGAAATGGACGTGACTCTGAAGCAAAATATCAATTGGGTAGTATTCCGACACCATAATGAATCACCTAGCTAGAAATGAAAAAACATTTTTGGGGGGTATCCATGTTCCTTTAAGGCCCGTAGGGCTATACTCCCCTACATATTTTTCACTGTTTATATAGAAGCACGTAAGGTCTGTATTAAACTAAAAAATGCATATTTAGATCCAAATGTATGCTGGATTAGATCGTTACAGTATCTCCATAAATAGTTGGTCGAAAATCAAACATGATAGCTTTCGCCATTGACGATCTGCCCTACGTAGCGCTGGTAGAAAATGCGTGGCAAAAGTACTTACACTAGCCATAAGTACACCGTAGTAAACTACTGCAGTTAACGGCTTCTTTTGTGTCTTGTACTTGTCACTACCCACCATCACCAATATTTCAGGGCGCACCATGTCGGGAACTGCGAGAGGTTGGAAAATATGTATGTTATTATGTCTTTGGAAAAGGCGAGCGATTGAATGACGAACAGGAACAACTAACTAATGTGCAAATTGAATAGACCAGATGCACTTTACCTTGTATATTCCTCTCCTTGATGAGTTGAGTGGGTTGAAGTGGCTTAACTGCAATGTCTAAGAAATGTTTATCCTTATAGGATTAGAATATCAGACACTATTCGAAATATATTTGTGTTAAATGTATTCGTGCAAATGAAACTTATATACATCCAGTGGAAAAGGCAAAAGAGGCTTTTATTATTGAGCTTTGTATTTTTCTCTCTACTTACAATTCTTAATACATAAAACCAAATCACATATAACAACTAACATAAAAATGACGGAATGATTTACTCACAATCACCCCGTGTATTTGAAAAGTGCTCTTCATCTTCAAAAATTTCGTGTGGAATGCGTCCGGCACTAGATCTCCCAGTAATACCAACTGGTCTTATTCGTAGTGAGTCACGGATAATTCCATGCTGTGAATATGAGAGAGACAACAAGTCATTTACTTAAAGGCCGACGTACACTTCGCGCTTTCCACTTTTGCTCGCCTCCTCTTTTCCTATATCCTCTCCACTTTCTACCTTGCCCCATCTTGGCTCCGCTAAGAGGATTATCTTCCCTGCAGAAAATCGACGTTGTACGTCGGCCTTTAATGAAAGTAGTCAAGGCATGACATTAGTGAGCAGTTTTTTACACTGATCATTTGGTGTTTTTAGAACTTTTAATGAAGTAAGCCAGATAAACTCGACGCCCTAGAAAAGATGCAACCTGTTTTGGCGGAAATAAATATTAGTCATTATATTTGCTATACTGCAAACTAGATACGCCATACACCTGTGAGTCATCTAGCATGAAAAAAAAATGATTTTCGCGACATTACTTATAGTGACATAGTGACATTATGTTTATCAGTGAGTTGTCATTTATCACCACATTTCATTGGCCAAGAATGGGTATGAATGACTTGTTTGAATGACTAAAATAATGGTTACTGGGCAGGCGAGCTGGTGAACTGTCGTAGTGAAGAAACCTTGAGACTGTAGGGACGAAAATGGAACAAGACAACACTTTCTCAAAACTCAGCAGCAATGTTTATGTTTCCGTGTTAGAGTTGGTTGAGTAGCTGTAATCTACATAAAACAAACGCGTTAAGAAATCTTAAGTTGAGATTTGAGACCGTGTTGTCCAATTTATTGTCCCTAGTCTCAAGGTTTTTTTGTTTTTCTCTGTAAATATTTCATGCATTGTTTAATATTTTGACCAATATTCTTAAGCTAGAATATTCGTCCGGGGTATTTGAGTTTTTCGAATCGAGAGGGCACATTACCCATAAAAGAAGTCTGACAGCCCCGTGGTACACTGTTTGCATTGCCTCGAAGTGCGAAGCTAAATGCTTTCTTGCGCACGAACGCACCACTAAATAATTTCTGCTGTCGTCCGTTTTGATCACGTTTCTTGTTCTTAAGCGGTCCCGTATATCGTAGGAAAACTGAAAATTTTAGCAATTACATTTATTGAACTTGCACTACGCCCCCTCTTTTGAGATATCAGAATGAAAAGCCTGAAATAATTGTAGCAAGCACATCGCCCTTTCAATGCCTATTGCCTGCTCTCGGCATGACAACGGAAAACTGCTGAACTAGGTGCACTGCGAGTGACTATACATTAGTGGTGGCTAGGGCAGTCAGGCATATTTTTTCTCGTGAGATTTTTTCAAAAAAATCTGAAACATTGAAGACAGAAAATTCCTGACGTAATATAATTTTTATTTCTTTATTTTATTGGAATGTTTTATCTTTGATGGTTTATGGCACTCCACCACCGGAGGTGAGGTCCGAAGCGGGGTCTACACAAAAGAATAGAATCCGCGCCTGTCATTCTTGGATGCAAGCGGCAAACCCCTTTGCGACCGCCTCCAGACCAATCACAAATAAAAAAAAAAAAAAAGAAACGCTTGAGATTAAGGAGTTGAGAACTTCTTATTTTCCGTCATCAAAACGAAACCTCAACATTTCAACTAGTTATGAAAAGCTGTGGTGCCCTCCACGCAGCCACGGCACCTATTACTGTTACTGTTTGTGATTGGCGCAAACGACAGTGTGCACTCGAACCTCAAAGAGAGGAGGCTCTCACGGGCCAACGCGTGACCACCAAGCGAAAAGCAAGAAAATTGTAGATGGTCGCTCGTCTGCCGATGTTGAATCGCAAGGTTTGGCTTGACGCTGAAATAATCTGGTATATTTTTTCTCAAGCTTCTACCGTTTCAATAGTTTTTACAACACCTACCCCGGACAAAGTCTGGTTACCACAGATATAGAAAACTGTACTGAATTGCGGCTTGTCATCAATGGTTGTTTCATAAAAACGAAACAAACAAGAGGAGAATCACGCCCGTGGTCTTGTCATAGTTTTTCTGTTTTGGGTCAGCCAAATATAGAAGAATTTAATTTTGTCTATTATATGTCATCGACTCGGTTAAAACTTTGCATTTGTGTGTTTTTGATTTTCGCTTGTTTCAACTACACCGTTCACGATAATTTAAATGCGAGTGTGATATGTAGGAGTCATTTAAAGGTGTTTGGGACAACGTAAACAGTAATTTGAGAGTATCAAATTCAATTTACAAAAATAAATGTTAACAAGCACATCCATACATAATTTTTTTTACACCAAGCACGTGTGCCTGACGAGCCGTTACTGCAATGCAAGAATCGCTTCATTTTTTCAACACTATATGTTTTGGATTATGGGCATTGGCAATTGACATGTATTTGTCGCGTGGATTGATAAAAATGTGTTCAATACACTTTCAACAAGTCCCCCGCTTATTGCAGCACTTCGTTTTTTTTTTTTTGTTTTTCCTCTAGATACAACTAGTAATACAATAGTAAATCTTAACCTCTGTAAATGTTCTCAAATAGCAGCGAAAACGTTTTCTCTATATATATATTAAAACAAGTTTGTCAAACTAAAAATAAAATAAAAATGCAAGATGTTTACAATTATCTGTAATGCCGAATTAGAGCGCAGCTCTTGTCCTCCCCCTCCGTAACCTTCCCTCCTCCTCTCCTGCTCCCCACCCATTAAACGGGAAAATTTCCCCTCTAACATTGGCGGAACATTTGTCCCACTAGATTTACTGTCATTATTTCCCCGCTAAATTTATCAAAAAAAGTTCCCTCTTATTTGGCCAAAAACTTTTACGCCAAATTTAGCGGGACATTTTACCCTCGTGACGTCACACGTGCTGTCACAAGTGACGTCATTATGGGAAACTTTCTATAATGCAATGCGCGGTTACGCCGAAGCCGACGCCGTTCAGCCCGAAAACGGGCTGCGCTCTAAAACCCAAAACGCCATATTTTAGTCTTATTCCTATCGGTTGCAGAGATGGGATATTAGATTTGTTTTTGTATGCACAGCATGGTGACCGAACGCTTCTAAGGCACTTTAGTCGGCCCGCAAAAATTGGTTTCTCAACGTTTACTGGAAAAAAAAAAAAAAAAAAAAAACTGCTTACATCGGTAAAGAAAAAAATAATACTGTTCTTGGCAATTTGGGACGCCATTTTGCGGGCGATGCACGCGTAGAGAGAAATGCTGCCGACAGATGGCGTACGCCACATGAAAAAAGCGCCAATTAATTGGTGTTTTTTCTTGTTTTTTTTTTTTGCGATATTGTTTGCTATAAATTTGAATCGACCGGCGCTTTGTCGACGCTGCGCATGTCATCTGCTGGCAGGGCAGTACTTATCTTTATGCCCGCATCGTCTGCGAAGTGGCGACGTGAATTACCCCGAACAGGTGTTTTTTTCTTTCTTTTTTCGCAAGGTAAGTTTATTTATATTTTTTTTTACTGTAAGCGTTCACCACGTGCTTGCACCTATGAAGTAAATGGCAGCGCGATATGTTGAGAAACCCATTTTTGCAGGTCGTGTGTAGTGCCTTTAAAACCGTTAGTTTACAGGCTGCATATGTACCGAGATACACTTGTTGTCTTACTTTGATTCACTATTTTATGAAACTAAGTAGCATTTTCGTAAAGAAGTTTCTGGATTTTTGCCGTTTTCACTATCTCACAGGGTGATAGCGCTCAGTTCAATGACATACTGCTACGTTTAAAGAATACACTTAAAAAATATCCGAAGGAATTATTATGTCATTACCACGCGTAGTCCATTATCCCTTTCAAGAGAAACGGCCGCCCTTTGATCCATATCATGATATACCATTTTGTTAAGCTCCATTCCATTCATCTGAAACGGGGAAGGAAATGCAATTGAACCCTGCGTCCTACTTATTTTGACTGGATGCTTGAAGATAAAAAGAAACACAAAAAAGACACTCACATATTGTTTCACTGGGGTTCCTCCTTCTTCGTACTGCAACAAAAACGACTTCGAAAAAACATCGGCTGGTTGCAGAGATAGAGTGGTGTCTTCATCGATAAAGAGTGTTAGCTGATCCCCGTCACTTCGAGCCTCTATTACATGTGGATACACAAGCCTCCTTCTCCCAACACCTAAGAGCGAAAAAAAAAAAAAAAACATGAAGTGAACAATCAGCTCCTTGAAAGACCACATAAAGCGGCATTGCCATTCGCCATCTCATGGGCCCGAACCGTGCGATTGGATTCCAGTGTTCGCTAAAGGCTGGCGCACCACTCGTTATTGATAGGAGCTGAGCTTGGTTCACCTCGAACACAGCTGCAGCTTTTGTGTTCATTATATGCCCAATGCATGTGCCAAAGCAATGGTGTATTCGGATAATTGGCACAGTCGCAACTAGATGGCGCAAACTTCTCAAAAGGCCCTATTATTTGTTTAACCGCAAACTGACCGCTTATAAAAATATGACATAAAGTTCCTCTCGCAGGCTATAGGTGAGGAGTTATTTCAGTTATTTGTTTAGCTCTTGATCTTTTTACGCATGGTTTAATCTTATGCGGCAGCGCTCAGCGCGATACAGACAAACATGGACCATCGAATTCTAAGTGCTTGTGAATTTAAAAACAAAATGGGGTACTTAAAAAAACAAAAAAAAAAACATAAGCGCGTGGCTCGACGACTTACAATCAAATTTCCCAACATATTATTTATTAAGCCTCAAGTTCGTTCACTGTACGAGTTCACCGTACCTTAGTTGAAACTATTCGGACGCTACACTAGGGAGGTTTAGTAAATCGTTCCGATTACTCCGATTACGATACCAGATACTGCGCCGACGCCTTTTTGTATGCACCGAATTGCTGTCGCGTACCGTTATTGAAGGTATCTGGACGACCAACTAAAACTTCCTGTCGTCTACTCATATGCAACCACTAAAAACGTTCACATTATGTATGGCGGTCACCCCTCGAGATGCACCATATTGTTGGGTCACTGACATATTGATAATAATGACAATTTAAGTTGCAGCGAAGGAGATCAAGATACAGTGAACCTTCTAAACCAATTGTTCCCAACCCCTGGCCCGATGATTTGGCCTAGTAGTTCAACAGACAAGAGTACCGAGTGTTTAGATTTACGGCCGTGGTTAAAACCCGAGATTTCACTCTTGACGTTTTTAAAGCTTTTTTGTATACTATCTCTACACATTATTTGGTACCGAAATACGCTAGTCATACAAATCAGTCTTGGGTATCAAAGCGCTACTGTATATGACTTCGGTACTCTGTTATGACGTTTAATTGTAAAGAGTAACTTTTTGAAAAACAGTAAATTGTGACAATAGTACTATTACTTTCTCCGAAGTAACCACGAAAGTTAATGACGTTACTTTAATTGGTACTTCCCAGTTTTTTTTTATTTTTTTTTTATTTATAAGATATCATTCAACGCGTACAATTTTTCCATTCCTTGCACTTTCGAAATTATCTGTTCCGACATATCGGGTATAAAGTTGACCTTCCACAAACGTTTTATTACGTTCTTTCTCGCGAGTCACGAACCAAATTTAGCCACACGTGTACTTTGAACTGAACATTTGCACCTTAGCATTATGAAGGTCTAATTATGTTGCAGTATTTTCATCAGTGCACTGGTAGATGCGCCGACTTTGAACTGGCTTGAAGAGCACGAATCTAAAGTTCGCAACATCGCCACGGGATGGCGCCATAGCGCCGCGGGCTGACATTTGCTTACAACATTTGCTTCTCGAGTGTCCAGCACTGGAACCTGTAGCAGGCGTCGGTACTCGCATTGAGCAAGCTCTTGGATTTACAGAAGAAACCAATTTTGTGGCGTGCGCGAAGCGGAGGCTCGAGGCTTGGTGGGCGATTCACCTGTAACGCTCGCCGAGAAGGCATTGCTGGAGACGCTGCTGCGAGACTCGTGCCAACAGATCGACTACTCCGACAAGGAGCGGGAGGCTCTGCTTAGGGTGAACGAGCGAATGGCAGGCAAGAAAACTTCAATGCACATCACCATTCATGGTTTAGAAGATGCTTCCCGACGTAGCGCCATTGCTGCTTCCGAGGCAAACAAGGTGGCGGAGAAGGGGAAGGCGTTGGCAGAGGAGATGGGGGCATACCTGCTGGAGGAAGAGGAGAAACACAGGCAGGCCCCAGAGAAAATGTGGCAGGAGTTTGAGGAGAAGCTACGCTTGTCAAACGAAGCACCTCTTGTTGAGCAGGAGCGTGCGACGAAGGTGACAGAGAACGAAGCGGCGCTGACAGTATACAAGCGTCTGCTGCCCTCTATGAATGAGGAGGTGCTTCAGCGCAAGGCTGAGGCGCAGGAACGCGTGGACATGCTACAGAAAGCCATTGAGGAGTCCAAAGATGACCTGGAGCAGTGCAAAGCAAGGCAACGTTCGGACGGCTGCACAAAGCTCAAGGCGCAGCTGGACGATGCCGTAAAGGATCTCACCATTCATCTGGAGATGTCAGACAACCAGAAGTGCGATTTCGAGAGAAAGCAAGGAAGCTGAAGCAAAGAGCACAGGACAACATCGAGGAGTGCAAGATGCAGGACAAGAGAGGATTGTCTAGGGTGAAGGAGTTGAAGAGGCAGTTCCAGACGGAAAGAAGACGGGCAGACAAGCTTCAGGAGAGACTTCAGGAAGTTCTCAACGGCACGAGTCTCGGGAGATCTGACGAGCTGTTTCGGCCCATTAACTACGAGGAGCGCCAGTGCGGTGACTCCAGCAGCAACAATACTCCAATTTCTTCTTCTTTTTTTTTCTGGGGGGGGGGGGGGGGGGGCGTGTCTGTTTTGCAGACGCTCGTTGCAAAGAGCAAGCGCCGCATAAATACATACATACATATATACTGACGAAACTGGCTGATAGAGCTACTGTATAGACCCTTTCATGCAACATTTCATGGGCGCCGCCATCTTGACATCACGTGACCCTTCCGCCATAGCCGACCTTCAGTTTCTCGCCGTGAGTGCTGCGCCGGCCGCCACCGGAGCTTTGTTTTCGTGTTCTTTTACGTTGCGCGTTGAAATCGTGTGTTTTCTTTAGGTCTTTTCGATATTTCGGGGTTTTCTTTTAATCATTCGATATCTATATTTGAACATAGCTCTTGTATTTTCTTATTTATAGAACTGAATCGGACAGCGAATGGGTCGACGATGCAAGATGATGGCCTAGGCTCCAGAGACCACGTAAGTTCATTACATTCTTTCGTTTTGTCGCTAATAAAGGGCAGTCAACATCATTGTGACATGAAAATTTCAACTGACGCAGTAAGGTTACCGCAGTCGTGCTTCTCGCTGCATGTGCGCGCTTTAGACATGGCTCTTTGATTCTTTGTGCTACCAGATCTTCGCGTTTCAAACCGGCGACCATGTACCTACAATGAATGGCGAGGTGACCAGACGGGCTAGCTCACGTAGCCGCCTCATGCTCACGGGCACGGTCGTTAACGCATCTGCGCGTCTAAGGTGTTTACGAAATACGTCTTTTGCGTGCCGCAAAAGATGTATTTCGTAAACAACTCCTGAGGCACACTCAGCCAATGGAGATTTGTGTTTTTTTACTGCAAAGATGATATTGTTGAAAGGGGCTGTTTATTTTATGGCAAAGTCGAACCATCCGATTTGTGGCTGAGAAAACCACAGGGACGTTGAAACACTGGGACACTTTCTTTAAATTATGTGAAATCAAGTCCAGCTAAGGAACAACCGCCGGTCTCACATTGAGTGCCTCCCGAGCGGGTTGGCGTGTTCGTCTGAGCCCTCTTAACAAACTGTCGGTGTCCTCGATTATACACCCTTGTGGAAAGTCCGCCTCTTGCAGTTTTACGACCTGTCGCGCAAAACGTTCTTGAACAGAATGCTGTCAAGATTTTTTTAGAGCAGAGCCTAAGCACGTTTTTGTGATGCTCTTAAGTAATTTAAAGTGAGTTGACTCATATGGTAGGATAGCCTTTTTAAATCTTGGATCAGAGGCCCAACAGATCTGGCCTTCCAGAAAACTAAATTTAATGTCTAAAAGTTGTAACTTCCCCTCAGTGGGAGCCTCAAATTAAAAGTCACGCATTCCGCGCAGGCACAGAAGAAAAGCCACATCTCAGATACAGCATCTTCCAGAGATACCTAAGCTGATTCGTTGAAAATAATGGAACTCATCTACGTATCTACAAATCGTGGTTTCGCCATCGTTGCTCAGCTTCTCTAAGATGCTATAGTCACAGCTACTTAATACAATATTGTACAGACCTGAAGCCACGCAAGAGCCAATATTAACGCCCTTCTGAACGAACAAGTCACCTTTAAACGCAACGTCATAAGATAAGAAGTTAAAATTTCCAAAAAGCTATCTATATTAACGCCACTGGATGTCTGAAACGCCGCCCCTCCGTTTTTATCTATGCATTTCTAAACCGCGCAGAAAAGTAAATTATGCGGTACAGAATGAAAAAGATCTTCAGCAGCTTGCGAAAAAAGCACCGTGAAATCCGCGCGATCCTACCCCCAGGAATTCTATGACGCACTCCGAGTGCGGAGTACTTGTTTGTTCAGAAGGGTGTGTTTATTGGATCTGGCGTGGCGCCAGTTCTGTGCGATATTTTGAAGTAGATGGGACTACGCTATCTTGTTGAACATGGGAGAGGATGGCTAGACCGGAAGCGTTAGATACGTAGATGATCTATGAGCAGAACGTAAGGGCGCAAGTGATCTGGTGTATATTAAACATATTAGTGAAAAACCCGAGACTGAGGTAAAACAGACGACGACAAGGAAGAGAAGGAGAACGTCTTAAACTCAGCTAAACCTTTAGTGAGGAAAGCACCCTTTATAATAGGGTTAAAAAAAAGGAAGGAAAGGGAACCCTTCTTCACATCACCTCTCTCCACAAAAGACACGACATCAACTCTCTACACCAAAGACACGACACCGGGCCTCTAACAATGGGGTCAAACGAACAAAAGAACTGACAGCACGAAAGATGACACATAAAAAAAAGATGCTGGGAAATTAACAGATTGCACTGGACCTTTCACTGAGAAAGTCAGCTATAAAACGGCACCTACACAAAAAAAAAGTTTCCAATATTATTAGAGATTTAGAAATC